GTCCCGGGTGGTTTTTGGGGGGTCCCGGGTGGTTTTTGGGGGGTTCTGGGTGGTTTTGGGGGGTCCCAGGTGGTTTTTGTGCCGCAGGCGGGGCCTGGACGCTGCTGGCCGGGGCGGGAGCGGGGCAGACGCAGGTCGATGACCCCCAGGTGGACGATGTGGCCCATTGGGGACACCCCCTGGACATGCACCTGGCCACCAAGGGCCTGCAGGGTATGTGGGGACACACCTGGGACACCTGGGGACACCTGGGGACATCAGGGACACATCTGTGGACACTGGGGACACACCTGGGGACACTCAGAGACATTCAGGGGCACCCCCAGGGGCTCAGCAAAGTTCCCACCCCCCCCCATGTCCTCCCTGGCCCTGTCCCCAGTGATGTCCCCGTGTCCCCAGTGATGTCCCCGTGTCCCCAGTGATGTCCCCGTGTCCCCAGTGATGTCCCCGTGTCCCCAGTGATGTCCCCGTGTCCCCAGTGATGTCCCCGTGTCCCCAGTGATGTCCCCGTGTCCCCAGTGATGTCCCCGTGTCCCCAGTGATGTCCCCGTGTCCCCAGTGATGTCCCCGTGTCCCCAGTGATGTCCCCGTGTCCCCAGTGATGTCCCCGTGTCCCCAGGGTGGCCGAAGCTGCTGCTGGAGGTGTGGCACGTGGACAGTTGGGGTCGCCGGGGCCTGGCGGGTTACGGGGTGTGCGCGGTGCCGAGCGCTCCCGGCTCTCACCTGCTCACCTGCGTCACCTGGAGCCCGCGGGGCTCACCTGGGCAGCGCCTGCTGGGCCCGGGGGCGCCGCAGCTGCTCCGGCCCGAGGCGGCCGCCAGCGCCGGGGAGCGGTTCCGCCTGCGCACCGAGAGCGCCGGTACCGTCCAGCTGAGACTGGGGGTGCTGCCCCGGCACCTGCAGCGCTTCGGGGTGGCGCTGGGGTGACACTGGGGACACCGGGGTGACACTGGGGACATTGGGGTGGCACTGGGACACCGGGGTGACACTGGGACACCAGGGTGACACTGGGGACATTGGGGTGACACTGGGACACCGGGGTGACACTGGGACACCGGGGTGACACTGGGACACCGGGACATCACTGCTGCCCCGGCACCTGCAGCGCTTCGGGGTGGCGCTGGGGTGACACTGGGGACACCGGGGTGACACTGGGGTGACACTGGGGACACCGGGGTGGCTCTGGGGACACCGGGGTGACACCGGGGACGTTGGGGTGACACCGGGGACATTGGGCTGGGGACAGGGTGACAAGGGATGAGATTTTGGGGTCACTCTGGGCTTGGGGACCCCCGGGGGAGGGGCGGGGGGGTGGCACAGGGGGGGGCCCCCAGGGTTGGTGGGCCCCCGCGCCCGCACCC